TTTTTCTTGGTGTAGCTCTCGGTGTTTTGATTTTGAAGCATGGGTGTGACGTCCTCCTTGGGTGCTTAGAGAGCCAGCCGGAGAAACCTTCACCCACAGAAAGGCTTGGCGGTATTTTAAAGTAAAAAACAAAAGGCGTGAACACATTTTTCACAGTCTCTAGCTCTAGCAACAAAAGTGTTAGAAAATGGCAATATTTTCCAGAAATAGATGCACTTTAATTCAGTTTATGTGCAGAGGATAGGCTAATTTTATCTCCACTTGTGAGGAAGAGAAAGGTGAAAGTGATTGTTCGCTTTAAAAATTAAACATCATACTATGAGACCTAACTTTAGCACCCACTACACATCTTTCTCTCTCCCCTTAATCATCAATATATAAACTAGTACAATGACCTGAGGACCAGCAGGGAACCAACCCAGCAGAGCAAAGAGTTGCCAGTCTTTTAAAAAGGAAGGCAGATTAAAAAAAACAAAAGCGGTCATTAGTTGGTAAATTCTTTACAGCAACCAAAGAAATGCATTCTTTGAGAAATACTCTAAATTTTTGTGTTCATATATTGTGCATACAGATGAAATCACATAATGAGTCTGCTGTTATCCTGAAATGTTCAGTTTTGCCTGAAAAAAAATAAACCAAAGTCGAAGGCTTCATTTTTCTTAACATACATTTCTGCTAATTTGTACCAATGCTGATATTCAAAATAAAAAAAATTATCTTAATGATTCCCAGACCTTCTAGAGAGACATTAACAATTAACAATCCCATACGGATGAGAACGAAACTTCTTTTACAAATACCATCATATGCAGCCAACAGTAGCAACATCCTTTTAGTCATACACCACAACAGAAATGTGAAGCTCTCTGCTTGGAAACAGATGGCGAGACAGTTGGTAGGAATTTCAACGTTACCTAACTTGCTAGAAGTTAAGCTTTTCAGTTTTTGCCCTCAGTTGGAGAGGAACGGGAAAGCACAGCTGGGGAGATCTCAGGAAAACAATCAGTGTCACTACATCAATACATAAACCTTGACCTTCAACACATTGCAGATTTTCAATATGAAGAGTTTTAATATTGAGTAAAAATATCAAACAAAAACGAGCTCCTCACACACCTGCTTTTTAAATCCAACACTAATCCAAAGCCACAATTAGTTCACTGTAGAAACCATTAAGTTATTGCTCAGACTAAATTATACATTTTGTAGCAATAGAGGGAAACCTTGGCCACCAATTAATCTATATTTGACTTTTTTCAGTTTTTCTTGATATGTTCCATTAGATTTTGGTATGACATACAAGGTTTTCCCCAGAAAACTTGTTAAGCTTGGTGTTTGAATGCTTGGGGAGTCATTCATCCAGTGACCAATCATGTTTTTGAGTTAAAAGTTGTTTAAAGTTGACAGAAAATGTTAAAATATCACTTGATAATGATATGTTGGAAGATTAACACTTAAGCATGAACTATAAAGTCTTAAAAATGCAAATATTTTAAAAAGAATTCAATAAATAAGCTCATAGGCTCATTTGAAATAAAACAAAGTGCTGTTTTGCTGTAAATATAGTTTACTCTTGTTCTCTCAGGCCTCTCTATCTGCACAATATGTTCCCTCTGTTTGCTTCTGAGGGAACAGAAACAAGGCTCCCCTGGATTAGCCTGTGCTTTCATTGCTTCATGATGTTCTTAAGAGTTTTTTCTCATCTATCACAACTGAAACTGGCAGTTGTTTTATAATCCATCACTTCTATCCACTACAATACACTTTCAATTGTAATTAAGGAGTTATTTAACTAGACAAAGAGGTCCAATATCAGATAAATTTCACTTATATGGGTTCACTACTTCACTACTTACTTGAATTGGATTCAAGTAAGTGCTTACCCCTTGTGCCCAGTTTCTCTATTTCCAGCATCAATGAAAGCTGTTGTCAAAGCCTCACCAGGGCTTCAGTGCCATCCTTTCCAAAACACTATGGATCAAAGAGATATGCAATTTCACATATCAGAGAAAACACTCCAAGGGTTGTTTGCTGCGAGAAAATGAAAAGCAGGGCTTACACTTCAAAAGAGCACACAGATAAAGTAATCCGAGCAAAGCTACATCCATGTCTTTAAATAAACTCCTTTGTTTACATTTTGAAACATTTAATATTTATGTTGGAATTTCCAACCTGACCAAAGCAGTTTGTTTGAGCTAGTAATATGAACCGGTTAGTCATTTTACTGTGATTCCCATTTTTATATGCATTGTAGGTCCAGTTAATGTATCAACTTTAAAGGTTCCTACCTTTAAAGCCTTTCATCTTTATGTCTGTGTTTATATAAAATTACTTTTGGGATACCATTTTAGTGGTTGATTTCATGAAAATCAACCAATAACTTCCTATGTGAAAAATAAATTCCTCTCTTTAGCTATCATTCCTACTATACACCATCCATCAATCAGAATAAAGATGCTAATATAGATAGCCAGATATTGGAATCAGATGAGCCTTAATAGATCAGTATTCAACATGTTTTTCTTCACTGAATGCATTCAAAACCATCTCATGAGTCTATAATGCGTCACTCAACAGTAAGTACATTTTAAAGTGAAACTAATTTGACCACCGCATAAATATGATTTTTTTAAAAAGAACTACAACATTTTGTTTCTTCTTTAATGTGCATTTTTGATTAGAAGAAAAAAAATTATAACCAGCAGGTCAGAAAACAAAAAAAAAGAAGAAATAGGTACTAGCTGAGAAAACCCTGACCAGGCCATCACCAAACAAAACCTTTACTTCGATGTTTTCTCCAACTTCTGCGATGGATGCCGTTTGTGACATGTAAAAATTAATCTATCATTTCCAATTATCAATACATACAGATTGAAGAGAACAATGGGAAGTTCAAAGCTTTACAAACAATATACACCCAAAAGATGAGTGCAGTTTATGAAACCAAGAGAAAAAGGGGGTGAAATAAGGTGAAAGTTGTGGGTAGAAATGATGAGAATGTCAGAGTCCTGGCATGCCTTCTCTAAGAGGAAGAAAGCAAGACTTGAGAAAAAGACACTGGCAGATAGAAAAAGGGAGGGAGGGATTGTAGGTGGTAGAGATGGAGGAAAGAGCAACAGAACTAAAACAGTAACCGCGTGGGAGGTCATAAACAGGTGAAACCCCATTACCAACCACTGTTAGTGATGCATTGCATGTGTGCAATAAAAGCTTCAGCTGCGGAATTGGCTTACTGAAAGGTCCTCTTTTTCTTTTTTTTATTTCCCCAAAGAAACATTTGTAAGATTCTCCACATGCACAGCCAAATACCTCGTCTTCTCCAGCACAAAATCGGAAGCATACGGCATCTGAAAGTAAACTCAAAGATTTGGCTTTCGAGAAATAACCAAGGTCCTGAGACATTAAAATGAGATCCTCTCCTGTGCTTAAAATAAAGAGCGCTTCAACCCTTCTAGAGGAAGGTTTCAGCCATCACCAGCAGCCTAATCAAGGAACATTAGCAGATAATTCAGATATTCTACATCACCAGGCCTTTAAATAATCCTTTAGCTGTCCATCAAAAGCCCTGATTCTTTTCGCTTTTCTGTTTTCCCACCTCCTCCTTTATTCGCCAGCTCCATGTGTGACAGAACATGCGCGCCTCCACCTACACAAGCAATTTCAGCAGCCTACTTAATATTGTAAATGCGACACAGCCCGCAGATCGGCTCAGTATTCACCGACTCTCGCCAGGCAGAGCTGATGGCATTAAATCTTTAACAGCTAATGTCTAAAAGTTTCTTGATTTCATGCAGAAAATTCTGCAATGCCATAAACCAAATGCATTCCAGGAGGAAAAAAGAAAAAAAAAGAAAGAAAGCATTGGCAATACTGCAGTTGTGATTTAAGTTGAAAATTATACCCTTTCCAGTTGCCCACAGAATAGAGATGTCATCTTTTTTGACATGCTCATTTAGGACTTGTCAAAAGAAGGAAGCGGAATGCCTTTGCTGTGCAAGCTGGCCCCCTGAAGGGCCAGAGCTGGTAGCCTGAGGGAAGACTCCACAGGTGGACAGGGCAATAATAACAAAAGAAAGAGCATCTGTGGGGGGTCCATTTACAAGGAACATTCCTGGCAGGATGCCATCAAAGCAGAGAAGAAGCAAACTTCTGCAAAATCCAGAACATTTGTAAATTACTGTTTGAAGAATACAGTTCATTTCTATCAAATAACTGCATCGTGAAAGCTTCCAATCAACCCTCTATTGTGGCATTTAGCGTAGCACTTTTCAAATCTGTCTAAACAGACCGCCATTTTGATTAATGATATAGGTCTTGACAGTGACCAACACTGAAACAAGTTGCTGCAATTTCCATGCAAATTGGTCACAGATTAAGCACGACTAATTACACTTTCCAGGATTTTATCTTGCAAGAACTCACGTTTGCGTCCCTATCAAAAGACTGCAACGCAGTTTAGCACCTTACAAGACTCTAGCAATTTCCCCTTGCAATAACCTGAGAGGCTTGATGTATACCTTTGCACGAGCATTGCTCAAAGTCCCAAATGAAAGAGACAATCAGCGAGATGGAGACAGACAGGAAACCCACGGCAGTGGTTGCGATTTGCCGCCGCAAATTGCTCTGCAGTCACGGAATGACTTAAACAAACAATTACCATTATCCTTATCCGTTTTGCACCATTTCCTGTCTTTTTGGGAGCAGTGGTGAATCGTCTTCATTTTCAGAAGTGGTGTGCGACAGGGTGATGGACCTGGACGGGGACCGAAAGCTTCTCCCCGCATAAAGGGCGCAGTAAATCAGAGAAATTAAGCTAATTGATTCAGACCTTAGCTAACATGCACGACCACAGGCACGCGGAGTTACCTGACCGTTAGCTCAACTTTTCTGTTTAGTTTTATCCTCCAATTGCCAGCTTAAATCGGTACATGGACCGGTTCTACATACACAGAAACGCTGACAACATAGCGTTTGTGTGTCAACGTGAAAGGTACACTTACCTTTTATTCATCTCCACCTTGTCTGCCTCCTTAGGAAGAAACGGGGTGGGGGGACGCCGCTCTCGCTGCTCAATAACGGGAATAAATAAACCGCGTCTGTAATGTCTGGTGTGTTTAACAGAAGAGCAGAAATCCTGAGGGAATTCTGCAGCTCTTTATCTACGGTTCCGTGCGCTTCCCCAACCGCCTCGGTTTGTTCAAATCAGAAGTTCATCCAAAGTTGCAGCGGTTCGCTCCGCCTCGACACGACTATGAGGTCACCGCCTCTCCCCCCTGACGTAGTCTCGCGATACGCGTCAACGGCTTCGTGTTTCTCATCGAAGGGCACCGTGTGCTCTCGCGATATGATGGTGAATGGACAAACCGCTGGGTAAAAGATGGGATAGAAGACCGTTGCTCTAGCAACAGATTCGGATGCAGCTCTGAGCTGGTTTGAGGGCTGATCAGAAAACGCCTTGTGTACAGAGAGAGGGTCAAAACTTGTTAAATACGGAAAAATAAAAAACATGTTACTTAAATGGCAAATAAAATAGTAGATGCAAATTAGCACAATGTTTTAAAACATTGTTGCTTTTTGTGCAATTAGACTAATGATACACAATAGGTTGCAAAACCTTCATGGATAGAAGGTTTTGGAGTTAAACATAAAAATTTCTACATGAATTGTTTATGTTCTCCCTTTGCATGCATTGGTGCTCTGCAGGTACTCTGGCTTCCTTCCACAATCCTAAAATATGATTTACAAATTAATTGCTATCTCTGATTGGATGGAAGCTGTTGGGGGTTGTTTTTGTTTGTTTGTTTCTTCTTTTGTGGAACTATGCTGAAAAGCAATTAATTGTGAATTGTGAATCTTATCCATAGCTTACCCAACATGGTTAATATTTTCAAGTCTTCCAGTAATTATCTTGTATCATTTAATTTACTCAGCAATTAAAGAAAAACTACATTTAAAACCAACAAAATACATCATATAAACTCTATGTTAGTCATCATAAACTCCTACAATTGAACACTGTTCAATATCTCGGTCATGTGTATATTGTGTGGCTACAATGATGCTATTTTCACTCACAAAAATAGCAAAACAAAGAATGGATCTGATCATTACATTTGTATATGTCTTATTCTCCTACGAATAAGTTTGGTCTAGAAAAAAAGTACACCTAGTTTTCTATTTGGTGTCAAACTTAATCATATGTATTGGATTTTTCTTCTGAAATCAGCTACTTAGTGATCGGATCTGAGAACCACAATAATAACTTCAGCACATTCATCATCCAGAAACCCTGCAAACATATATAAGTTTTTCTCTGCATGATTTGTTGGCAGTGAAAAGAAAACTATTGAGATCACTATTGTTTAACAATGCAGTTGAATCACTTTTTCAATGCCATTTCTGACAAAATTATTTGTTTCTCAACTTGAATACTCCAAACGAGGAAAAATTAAGAGCTTTGTTTTGAACAATAGGATGAATGCAGAGTAAAATATGAGCATGCTCATGCACATATAATCTCATAGACAAAACATGGCACAGAAAAAAGGCACTCAAGGTTTTTCTTTTATTTGGGATTTAAAGTCAGTAAAATGAATCTAAACAGTGGTGCTAATTGAAATAAGAAGTTATCTGTTTGCATTAAATGTTAAATATAATTAATAGCAGATGCTTTCATGCATTCTGTACAGTTTCTCACTGTCCAACATAAAATCAGAGGAAACACTTGCTGTTTACAGTCAGCTAGGATTATTAAGATTTATTCAGTCCTGTCAGTCAATATTATATATTATGTAGAACTTCCTTTTGGTGCAGTTTCATATGGAATGGCTTGTGGCTTTTTGGGTATTACTCCATCAGCAATGCACATCCAGAGACTGATGTCTTTTTTAACCTTTCTCAGTTTGTAAAATAGCTCAAGCTCAGTCAGATTAGATTATGGATATCTATAAATAGCTATTTTCAACTCTCTCAAAGATTTTATCAAAATTTTCATCAAAATCCTTTCAGATCTCTTATGAAGAAAATTATCCCCATGGTAAAATGCTGCCTCTATTATGATTTGTCAAAGAAATTTGCTTTATTTTGATCATAGTAACATTCAAATGCATTCCAGACTTTTCATACTTTTATTTGCTGAATAGTTTGGAAATCCGGCATCTTTTTCTGCCCTTCCCTTGTGTTATTCTCTGTGTCATGCAAAACCTCAGCTATTTATATTAAATTCTCTGGTTATTTAAAAATCTTCAAGGTTTATGAATGCATTTGCAAGACACTGCATGTTATTTTGTATACTATCAATTTGCACTAAATAACAACACATTATAAATGCGTTCAAAGGGATTGACTAAGTCTTTAAACCACACATGCCCTTTACAAATCCTACCTGCTTGCTTTCCTCACATGCATTAATTATGGAATCATACATTTTTAATTAGATAAGAGAAAGAACATTGGGATAATTAAAGCTGCTCAGCAGGTACCCACGTGAAGAGTGGGCGAATATTATGAGGCTCATGGGAATTCATCTCTCGTTCTCGCTCACACATTCCCACTGCTGAATAGATCTGCACTGTCTGCTTTCTTAGGATTCAGGCTGGTATTTCTTTTCAGAGTATAATATTTTGCTTGCAGTGACAATACTTCATATTTTCTTCAATCATACCACCAATCTCTGATTTCCACTTGCCATCAAGCCATCCATTATTCTGAAATGTCATTCAGGATTGCATAACAATCTAATAAACATAACCAAAAAAAATAAATAAATAAAAACAGATTACTGTCATTAAAACCAGTCCTGTAGCTATATGAGTCCTGACGCTACCCCAGTCTGTCATGTGGCAGATATTTGTGTGGGCGGTTTGTATTGTTCTCTGGAGATTCCCCCCACCCACTGTGGATTAGCTTTAGGAGTCTAATTGGGTTAGCCACATAATGTAATTCAGTTTAGATTAAAGAATTACAGAGACATATTACCAGCAACTACTGAAAGAAACATTTCACTCTTCTTTATGCCAGTAAACTGGAAAGATATTTGATATTTCCTGATATTTCATAAGCATAAATGAAACTTTGGAAACTTTGTTTGGGAGGCATAAAATGAAATATATGAGCTTCAACTCATTTCAAAGTGGTTTTATAGTGCTGAAGAGATTTCAAAACAGATCTCCATCTCTGTTTATCCTTTACTATTTATCCCAAAAGACCAATATGTGTGTGTTAGCCAATGAAATTGAAGAAAACTCAGACAGTACACTGTTGACATTTACAGAAAAGTCCAACCATAATGAAGAAAAGCTCCATCACTTCTTTAGTGCAAAGGCGTTATCTGTGGTTCTGCATAAACATAGAATGACTGGCATTTAGTTTGACAACGAGAACTGGGGCGAAGTTCCTGCCAAAACTCTGGAATGTCCCAATTCTATGCTAATGCCATGTAACTCTCGTGTAATTAAATGTGCTTTCATTGGAAGCATTGTCTTTGTCTTCAGCAGAAGATACAATACACATTGTATTTGTCTTTAGCAGAAGACAAATACAATGTGATTTATTAGACTAAAAAGAAAGGTTTTTATGCTTTTCAGTTAGTTTTAATTATGAAACCCATTATAAATTATAAAAACCGATATGAACTACAAAGCCAAAGTTCATCATGCAGCATTTTTGTCTTTTTTTGTAGTCTTATAATGAACCTCTCTCTATGTTCAAAATTAAAATATTTTTATTTTTATGTGGACAGAAATGTATTTTTAAAAAATCAGGAGCACCATTTATACTGAACTGATTCTACACAAATCTCAGTAGCAATGTTGATGTTGTAGTCCTCTGCACTCATGGTTTTAATGAGTGAGTGCATGTGATTAAAGGAAATCTGTTGTGCTTATTTGACTGTTTTGTGAGAATGTGATTAACAGACTTTAGGATATGCAAAATATTCAATTGATTTAATAATTGGTGTGCATTATGAACACAATGATGTCTGGTATGTTTCTATTTTGATGAATGATTCTGTGTTTTTCTATCAGATGGTGTATTTTTTGTTTTCCTTTTTGCTGCTATGTTTTATTTAATTTTCTCCGATTTTGTTTTTTGTGCTTTGTTATCATAGAATCTTCTGAGGAAAAGTGACTAAGGATATTTTCTTATATTTTGCAGCTCAGTTTGTTATCTTTTGGCTAAATTCTTCCAGCACAGGCTCTCCATATCTAATTATGACAATGTGCGGCAGCTTGACATTGCAATGTCAGAGTTACAAGAAGATGTCAACTGGTAAAGCTAGACACACCTACACATAGCAGTGGTAAGCCAGAGAGGGAGAGGGGACTTTTCAGTCATCTGGAAGCAGATGACTGAAAAGAATGAGCCCCATTCACACAATTCCACTCAAACGGCGCTCCTGCACTAATAGAGATTGACACGACGAACGGCGACAAGTTGTGTGCACACACACTGGTTCTTTTGTCTGTTTTTCAAAGGGGCGTAATGCAGACAGTGTGCTTTTAAAATAGTCTAAATTTGACGCGCTTGTTTCTCAAAAGTGGAGACCACTGTGCCTCGATTGGAGTGTGTGAGCAATTAGTGCTTTGTTGCAATTGTCATTGTGGGAGTAAACTAATGACGTGTTGGATGAGTGAAGGATGTTTCTTCAGTTCATGTTGTATTGTTCAGCGATACGTAAAATAAGAGAACAAACATTTATAGATGGTTTTACAACTCTTTACAACTTCTATTTTTTTAAGCTTTGGGTTTCTATGTTCAACTTAGCAAAGAGAAAAATCTGCAGAAGACTTTAAATGATTTGACTTTTCAGCTCCAGGCCAGCAGGGGGACCTAAACAGAAAAAGTTCACAAACGCACAAAAAGGAAACATCTTTGCTATTTGAAAATTAGGTTATGTCACAATTAGTGCTATTGTAAGGGAATGTTTTAGTAATCAAGTACTCAATCGATTACTTTTTACAAATAATTGAGTATCCTCTCTCTCTCTTTCTCTCTCTCTAGATAAACCAGATATTCAAAAATAAATACTTCTTAAAGAACATTTCAGACATTTTTCCTATGCACAGTAAATATTTCAGATCTTCTTGAATGAAAGTTGACCCATTTCTATTGGAATGGATCTGACATCAGATCAGAGTTAAAGCTCAACCAGACAGTCAACACATCATTTTTATACCAAGGACAGAGAATTATAAACACATGAGAGAAAATCTGGCTCCTTGCAGCTGCATAAAACATCTCTGGCACAGCTAA